GAACACTTTTTTAAACTAAATTAAAACTTTTTAAAAAAAATCAAACACTACTTTTATCTGCACATTTTTGTATTTTTTTAAAAGATTTATTTATTTATACACGAACTGGGGTACAGCCAGAAGCGCGGGAGGGTGAGAGGATTCACCAGCGACAGACTGGGGAGCAGAACAGGCAGACCGACGAAATACACTGATGCGGGGAGCAGCAGGCGAGACAGGAGAGGTCTGCCTTGCCATGTGGGCCCCTTGCTGGCCCACCAGAATCGAACTGGCGCTGCAAAGGCTGCGGACAGCTTCACAGCACCGCTCTCAACCGCCTGTGCCATCTTGAAAGAAGATATTGAAAGAAAGAAAATCTTGAAAGAAAATATTGCAATATTTTGATTAGATGAATAATTAGGTTTAGGAAATGACATTGATAAATAATTATGGTAACAGTATTTCTTTCCATAAAAATTAATTTTTGTCAATTAAAATTCTCTACTGTATGCTGATACTTTACAACTATATTCTTATTGATATGTATATTTCATAGTTCTTTTGTCACTAAAATCAACATATTTTTTAAAAATAAGAATATTTTCATCTTTTGAGAATATATAGATTTTTACGAAGGTAAGTGTTCATGAAATCCATTCCATGACAACCAGAAGGAATATATATTATCATTTCTTGACGGTTTTAAATGTAATATTTAAAATACTTAGCAAATTTCAGTGGCTTTTGCTTCTTGGATTCAAGAATATCTTTCTTTTGCTAAAAGTTTCTCTCATCTTTTTTCTTTTCCTTTCTGTTCAATGCACATTGACAGATTTATGTGACATAGATTTCTACTACTTGGCCATATCCTGAACACAGCGTTCTTTCCACATCAGTTATAAAATCTTCATTCAAATAAAAATTAATTACTAAATGTCTACTACTAATTATTGACTTCAAAAATGTTTACTGATTCAAAATTACATGGTCTTGAATCACAGGTGTGTACGATTTTAGAAATCATCAGGTCCAACACACTGACTTTATAAATTAGTAAGATAGAATTTAGAGATGCAAGGAACTTTGTCAAATGCCAAGTAACCAAGAGATATAGCTTTTCTCCATTATTTATTTATTTTTTTTTAATTCTAGGCCCTTCCTTTGTATTGCTGTGCTATGCTTACCATAGAGTGACAAAATATATACAGAACTTTTACGAATTGAGTGAAATTGTTAGGGTGATTGTAAGAAAAATGAAACAAACAAATGGCAGAAGAACTAGTAGGAATTTGAGAACACATCTTATAAATAACAATGTTGGATGAAAAACATATAGAGAAATGGTAAATTTTACCTTTGAGTCTCATAGTTATAGAATATACTTTTGGTAGATACTGGTAAAAGAATGTAGTTGCCATTTACAATAAATAGGAGAGCTATAAAAAGGGGTTTGTAGGAAGAATCAGAGTCAGGGCCTCAGGCCTGTCCATGTTAATTTTGAAATGATGAGAGGTATTCAAGTAGACTCAAAAACAAGTGGCTGGAGGGATATAGATGGAAGACGTTCGTTTTGGTAATATTTAAATAAAGAAGACCAAATTAAAAACACCTCAGAAATCATTGCATGGAGAAAGGATAAAAGATTTAAAATCAGAGTCCTGTGATGACTTACACATTTAGAGACAGAAAAATGAGAAGGAACTAGGAAACAGACAGAAATTTAAGAGGTAGATTCAAAAGTGCAGTGTCTTAGAATTCAAATAAGGTAATCTAAGTAACAAGTAAAAATCATCAATGCCTTCTACCAGTGTACAAATGCCTGTTACTTGGTATTTTATGTTTTTGTATCTTAGGATTCACTATTTTCTTTTTTGTCTTTTCAGTATAGGGGTGTGTGTGTGTGTGTGTGTGTGTGTGTGTGTTGGGGGAGGGGGAGCTATTGACACTGTCCTCTGTCCAGTCTTTAAATTCACTTTTTTTTTTTGAAGATTTATTTATTTATGTATGCAAGAGCTGGGGTATAGGCATAGGTGTGGGGGTGAGAGGATTCACCAGAGACAGAGTGGGGAGCAGAACACGTGGATCTACTGAAATATACTGATGAGGGGAGCAGCAGGCGAGACAGGAGAGGTCTGCTTTGCCATGTGCATTGCCTTCCTGGCCCAGGAGCAAACTCGTGCTGCAGTGGCTGTGGATAGCTTCATAGTGCTGTGACATAACCCGTTGCACCACCTGGGAAGCCCACTAATTTCACTTTCAAAAAAAAAGTTCCTGCTAGAGATACAGACCTGTCACATTGCAAATCATAAAATTATTCTCTAGTCCTTTCCTCAGTGCCTGTTGATATATGTCTGTCCCTTTTCCTTTTTTCTTTCCTTCCTTTCATCAATAAACAATAAACTATGTGATTTGAATTTCATATTATTTTTATCTACTAATAGCCACATGAGTATTATTTAAATCACATTGTTTTTTCTTATCCTTTCTATCAATTTGCAGTGGTCATATTTACATTGATTCAATATTCAAAGAATCATAGTGTTGTTTTCAGAGGCCAAATTTTTTTTTTTATGAAACATGAGGTCTTTTACTCTAATAAATCTTAAACTACTTTCTTTTTTTTTTTTTTTTGTGGGACCCTCACTGGTGGCTGGGGAACAAACTGGCGCTGCAGAAGTTGCTGGCAGCCTCACAGCCCAGCGCTCAACTGCTGTGTCACCAGGGGAGGCCCTTAAACTACTTTCTTATCCAACTATTATCATAGATGGAGAGTTTGCTCAATTAGATCGCGCCGTAAACCTGTCTTTGGTTACACATTTAGTGACACTATAAAAAGATTGAAATGAAGTTGAACAATGTCTTATTGATTAAATACTATACTAATATATAACTGGGATCAATCAAGAATAAGATTTTATAAAGCAAACACTAGCTTTCTTAATGATTCTAGCACTGAATAATTTATAAAGTGTTGTGTAGACCTGGATGCTATAAAGATATATAATCTCTGCATATTTAATTCATTTTAGCTAATGTTACATCAGTCCAGAGTAATTAGAAAACCTAGGATTTGTTCTTGGTACCACACATAATTCTAGAAGGGTAATACTGTAATATAAATGGAAAAAATAGGGTTACAATTTTCTGAGTTAGTTTTATCCTAAGATGGCACCTTATCCTCTCAATTTTTGAAATCCTGTACTTTTGAGTTAACTCCAAATTTAGGACAGGTTATTTAAGTATTAAAAGTAAGATTTTAAGTAATTATTTTCTTATTGGATCTTTAATGATAAAGAATATGCACAAGAACATGAAATTAAGTTTTTTATATAACAATAATTTACATGTTAAAATTATACAAACCGCCATTTCATTCAGCTTCCATCTTCTTCCTTTGTAGGTATTAACTAAGTATTAATTTACAAATCTGCAATTTCTCCTCTACTTTATAGCATGTTTTTATTACTCAGATACCATGGTGAGCAACCCCACTGTACTACCAAACAGACACAAAGTACAGTGTAAAATAGTTTATTTAAAATAGGACTTACTGAGGTTTTAGAACTACTGAGAAAAGTAGGGAACCCCTAGGGAAAATCTAGCTATTTCTGGTCTTTGAAGCTACATTCATTGTTTATAAGCAGTCAAATAGCCACTGTAATAATTATCCTCTTATTATGGTGATTGTTGTTAAATCATTTGAGGAACTCAATTTTATTCAGTTCATGCAATCTCCTTTTAAAAAACTATTATTAAATATGTTAAGGAACAAGCTATGATAAGCTGTGGAAACTTAGAATTATGCAAAAATGTCCCAGACACTACCAAGGGGTCAGAATGGGCTTGGTGGGTTGTAGTTTAAATTTTGAAGTCTTTCAAAAAATTCATTATTTGACTGAAAAGGTCCTCATGATATGTTGTTTATAGTGCTGGTAAGCTTCCATTTTATTGTATAAAAAATGATTATGCTGCTTTTTTAAAAATTGTAAAATTGTCCTTTTCTTTTTTAAACTTAGATATTTCTTAATCCCCAAAGAGTTATAAAAGTGGACTTTTATGTAATTCTTAATGTTAATTTTATATAGAAATCTTTATATATTCATATAAATACAACATTTTCAAAATTTCAATTATGTTCTAGAATTTTAAATAGTTTTTTTCATGATGTTATTTATTTGCTATTTTAAGCAGATCATTTGAGAAGTATATTTTAATATATCATTTTTGTGACTTTATCTGCACTTAGTAGTTCACAAAGTTTGGTTTTAAGAAAAAAAGTATTTCTGTTTTCTGTAAATTAACCTCAGATATTATATGGAGTCTCAAGGAAACATGTTAAGTGTTTGGAAAAAAACTAGGTATTTCCATCTATTTCTGCACATCCTAATAGATACATACTTAATGTATAACTGTAGAACTATAGGAAGTATGAATAATTAAGAAATGTTCTTCAACTTTGCCAATGACTAATACCCAATAGGAATAATAGCAACACCTACAATGTCAGAGATTTTGCATTCATTTTCATAGTATTCTTTCTCCTTTGAGAAAACATAGATGTGAAATTATGAATGAGATAATAATGATATGGTATAACATTCTAAAATCTAAAATTGTTGTAGACTCAAAAGTAGCTTCAAAATATATAGTTGTCTTAAATTTTACCATATTGTAAAATACCATGTTTTTTAAAATGCTATGAAAGAAAAATTTATACTGTACTTCCTTGTTAGATTCTGGTCAAATGGCATAAAGAAATAAAATTCTGGTAGAACTGATTTTTTGTTTCCTAAGTAAGAATATAACCTGGAGCATATATGATGAGATACAGTCTTAGGGTTAAGACATCAATAAGAAATGTGTTACTTCCAAAGCTTACATTTATGAAAACAAGATTTACTTTTCAGAATTTGCTAAAATACATTACAAACATTAGTATAATCTGTAAGGAAATTAATTGCTCTTATGATCTACAGTTATTTGCTATTATCGTGGTATTGATTAATAACTTTGTCTTATAGGAAAATGGAAACAACATTTACTGGAAACAGTTGAAGTTACCATAATAGCAGTTGATCGAAGGACAGTACACATGGGTAAGTAGCAATAATGTTTTTCTTAAAATTTTTATTTTTATGTAATATTTTTCCATCTCCTCTGAAGACAAACAATATATCAGTAATTTACAGTTATGCACATTAACTGTATACAGAGTTTAACTTCCAGGCATTGTTTAATTCTGTAAGCAAATATATTTGCGCCATTTATTTAAGCCAGAAAGAAAAGAGTTAATTACAGAGTTTATAAAAAAACTTCTTCCCCATAGAAATGAAATGTCAGTATTTTCTCCTTTAATACATTTAAGACAAGCAAACCTCTACCCAGTTTAGATTTATTATTCTGCATTGATTGTCTCATTCTCTTGGAGGACATTCTGGCAGTAAAGTAGTAGACACATTGCATCCATCATCATGTGTCAAAGGGCCATCAGGTCGATGGCTCTTTTTGAACTTTGCTGTTTCAGAAAGCCATGGCTGAGTGTTATAGGCAGAAGTTTGACATTTTCAGGATGAAAATCAATTTTCTTTTATGTGTTTCTGAAGTGAGGTTTGTGCTTTGATTGCAGAAGAAGTGGCTTTTAGTACTTTGGAGAAACAAAATAGGAATTAAGATAAAATTTAGCTAACAATAGTTTCAATGGAAGCAAGGAGAAATATACTTTAGTGATCTAATAATATATTAAATCACTGAAATAGAATGACAAATACAAACTAACAGAAATATTCACTGAAATAGAATCATTCCTACAAATTAAGATAGTAATAAGTGAAATTTATATTTATATTGCTTAGTTAAAAGTGGAATGTAGTGTTTTAGAAAAATATATACTCCTAAAGAAGAAATACATAATTATAATTTGCAAATTAAGACGTTCATATGTATTTATACTTAGTGTGCGTATTTTTGGTATTTCTCTTTATCCTAGTGGAATATAGATTCCAGAAGGATAAAGTATCTGTCTCTTTTGTCCATAGTATATTTATAGCATCTATCATAAAGCTGTAGCATAGTAGATACTCCATAAATATTTTATAATCAATATATTTTAATATTAAAATACTATTTTTGCAGTTATATTTTTATAATGCAACTATAAATATGACATAAAACAGTATTGAGTTGATTTATATAATTATAAAAATAGATAGTTGAAATAATTTTCTCTTGTCAATAATTATGAATTGAATTTTTATAAATCTACCAGTTTTAAAAGTGCTAGTGGTACTTTTTTATATATACAAATTATGTCTTTGTAAATATATATAACATATACAAGATTATATTCCCAGTGGTAGTTTCAGCCTCCATATAAAGCTTTTTATAATTCTATGAAACAGTATTGTTTTAGATATTCCATTGCATGGAATATGTAACATTAAAGAAAATTTGACTCCATTGTGTTAGTGTCTATTGTCTGATTATGAAAATAATCATTGAAAAGCAGACTAATTTTGTGTTCTCAATATTCATGCTATTTCTAGTTCAAGGTAAGTTCATAATGAATTTTATATCTTAGACCTTAAAAAAAAATATGGTATGAATAGCTCATTGTTGAGCTATCAGTCTCCTATCAACTCATGAATTTGCGCATGTGCATTTCTACATAATATGTGTGGTTGTACATAGAACTAGGTGAGTAGGTAGTTAGGTTGATATCTAGAAATAGAGAGAGAGATACCCTTAATCCAAGGGTAGAATGAAAGTTTCCAGGACAAATACTGTCATACACAATAGCTCTCAGTTGTCTCCCTTTTCATACAATAAATTTCCTAAAGAATAAGTGTTTTTCTTTCATGTGTACCCCTTCTTTCTGCTTATATGGCAAGAGTGTATTCAAATGTTGACTAATAAAATGGTAGCCATAAAAATACACTAGCTTTTAAGTTTCCCCTTTTTGAACTTTTAGAAAATCCTGTTTTTTACCCTCACCTTATATAACAATCAGTTTCTTTTGGTATTAGGACTGATATGTAACATATTAGGGGTATCAATGAGGTTGTAAAGGACCTTGACTTTATAAAACATCCTCAATATATATTTTCATTACTACAGTTTTCTAAGATATTACCTTTCTTATGTTCAAATTCAATCACTTTTGTCTTAGAACAATTTGTGTATCTTATTTAACTATATGTCTTCTCAATAATTATTATGTCTAACAGGTAAATTGTTTAAAACAATATTTTACAGTTATAGGTATTATTTATAGTGGTCTTGATTGTACTATGCAAGGAAACAAAACATTGACCAAAGGGGACATTTTAGAAACCAATAGTTGAACCATTTTAGATACATAAAGCCAAGCCGTGCCACCAACAAACTGTTGGATAAAGTTTCTTGAGTATGCGTAGGTACTCAGACTGTTTTCCAAGAAAGTTTTTGCTCACTTTAAAGTTTAAATTGGGCAATACAAAGCAGAGGAGAGGAGATTCAAAATGGATTCTGACTCCAAAACCACAGTGGGTCATACCGTAACATGATAGTGAGTCATAGGGCAAGCAGATAGCTTCTAGGTTCAGAATAGAATAGGAAAATGCCTCTGAGGAATAAGAAAGGCTCCAGAGATAAGGACAGCAAATTCTAAAGGGGCTAATCAAACTCCCCCTGGACTGGGGCCAACAACACATTCCCAGACAAGGACAATAAAGAAAAAAGACTCAAAGATAAGGTTCTGAGATGCAAGATGTAGTTCTGGACACAGAGACATTAAGACAGAATGAGACCACCTTGAATTAACCAATCACAAAGAGACTGGTGGGGCTTTAGAATAATTAGGGAAAGAAGGTCTATGTTCCCTGTGGCATGATTCCATGGTGGCTTCCTTGTGCCTCCCTGGCCTGCTCCACAGGCCAGGGAGTCCTACTTTGTTTCTGTTCCTTTTCTCCTTCATAAACTTTTCCTTATATCTGCCTCTCTACACAAATGTGCCTCTTTTCACTGCTTGTGTGAGAGTCAGAGAAGTTCCTACTGCACCTTCGTTAGACATCAGCGTGTGGTGGTCTAGTGACCGGGACTCATTGGGTGGCAGTGAGAAAAAATGTGTTGCATGAATTATATATCTGAGACTGGATTTTTATATTTTGAATTTATCTTTGTGAGATAATCTTAGTCTCTGAAGTTTACATGTGTCAACTTCACTATAATTATTTTTGTATCTATGGTTTCATTAGATGCATTGAATAACAAAATAATTTGTGCACACAGTCTAAGCCCTTGAATAATAATACATTTTGCTTTAGCATGTTTTATATTACCAACAAGTTTACAAAAGGTGAAGAAAACTATGCTTTCAAAGAGAAAATATTGAAGTGGGAAAAGCCTTAAGAATTATGTGATAATACAAAAAGTAGTTTCTACATTTAATGAGGTTTATAATTATGTCATTAATCATATTAATGCACCTAAAGTTTGGTATTCCTGGCTCCATTTTACTTAGATTAAATAATTTTGAATTCAAGATCATAGATTCTCTCCAAGTACATTTGCAACTATTTTCATGTTAATTATCCACATCACTGAAATAATTACTTCCTAACTTGTTTATAGAACAAGATACTACAGTACAAGGTATGCTATAACTTTTACCTCAAGGATGCTTAAATGTTTCTTTTATTGTGGACTAGGGCAGTTTGCTAAGTGGTTTATTTATATTGGAGAAAATCACTAGAATATTAAATGGATTTGCAGAGAGTTAAATATTGTCAGTAAGGGTATTATTACTTTAAAGAAAAACCCCAATTCAGTGATTTTTTTTCTTGTACCTTGTTAAAATAGCATTTTTCAAACTGTAAGCCTTACATTGCTGGGTCTGAGATACAATGTATTAAAAGGAAAAAAAAAATCCCATTCTCAAAACACTTAGGAAATCAGGGAAGTGGCATGTAAATTAGTAGTACATAATAGGAGTCACAGGCTTTGAAAAGTCCTGCCATTAAGAAAACTTAAGTTTTGTTTCTCTAATTTATTTGACTAGTGAATTATTGTTGTTTTTAACAACCTTCCTAACAACAAGGTTTTGCAGAATTTTTCTATAAAAAGCCAGTTAGTAAGTATTTGAAGCTTGTGGTAACTACTCAATTCTGACTTGGATCTTGTGTAAACAAATGAGTGTGGCTGTGTTCTAATGAAATTTTACCAATAACAGCCAGTGGATTCGCTTGATCTGTGTGCAGTACTTTGATCATCCCTATTAATAAGATGCAGAGGTGCTTTTGCAAATTTCTATCCTTCTGAAATGGGCTTCTTTATTCATAAAGACCACACTCACCAAAAGTGGGTTATCAAGGAAATAACCCATCCTCTTTGTTGATGGTCATTCTTGACAAGTATGTAGCAGTGATAAAGGCATGATGAAGGGATCCACAGAGAAATCAACTCTGTCAACCCTAGTACCCTTGACTAGACACCAATATATGTCACTTTTATGCTCTATACTGTGCAGCTAATGAAAATGAATCACATATTCTTCCTATCCTCAATGAACTTTATGGTCTACTGGGAGGGATGATGATAATTTTGCAGAGGAAAATGAATTGAACAAGAACACAAAAATTATAAAATGTTTGCTATAATTGCCTCATGAGCAGTAAAACATTTTGCAGAAAATTAAAAGGAAAATTATTTTGCTTATAGGTCTCAGGAAAAACTTTATATAAGAAAATTTTTTACAGCTAAGCTTGAAAAGATTATACCTACTGTTTCATAAGTGGGAATACGAGGCATCATTGTTATATGGAAGAATATGTAGAGGGGAAAGACAGTGGCAATTGGGAAAGCATGATTCTTATGCAACAATTATTCAAGTGGCAGGAGCATATCGTGAGATTGAAAAGTAAGCCTGAATCACTGACATATTTAATCGAACAGAAATGCCAGGCCCATTAAAAATATTAGCATGATAGGAACACTGTATATACTTTGATTTAGTCATATCCATTTGCCTTTAGGAAGAAGGATGTGTATTTCTGTTGTTTGATGATGATGTATATATGGAGACATACAGAGTACTTAGAATGTTTTAAGGAGTCTTGAGAGT